CAAGCCAGCTTCCGGGAAGCAGCGGCTAGGTGGTGTGTTTGATGCGAGTCGAAAAGTCCTGTCGGGCTGACTGTAGTCTGGCCGGTTGCGCGCTTAATCGCCACGATAGACTGTGGGATCCAGGCGAGCCGAGTCGAGCCTACGTCAGCGGGGTGACGATCGCAGTGGTGGAAGTTAGCACGCGACGGCCAGGATCGTCGATGCGGGTATGAGGATGTGTGATTGGAGTTGAGTGGATGATTGGCCCGGGGCCATATTGGAATTCTACGGCGAATGCGCCTTCATTGCGGATCGTTTTTCAGGTGTGAGTTCATGGCTGTGAAGCCGAATGCTCTCGTGTCGGATTCTGGTGTCTTCTGTTTTGACGAAATGACTGTTGTTTAGATTTGTGGTTCCGACTGCACTGTGCATGCCATCTGCCTTATGCTGCACGACATTAACCGATAGTCGGTGAGGCAGCCTCAAAGAAACTAGGCGCCTTGTGTTTTTGTTGATCAAGTTTGCTGAAACTGAGTCGCGGGTTGATCCCTCGGAATTCCAATCGGACTCATGCATGATTGTGCGGGTTTCATAAGTTGCGTCTCTCGCGTCTAAAGGAAGAAAGACACTAATTATTTCTTTCTGTGCGTTTTGATGACGTCTCGAGTATTCGCGTAATCTCCGTCTGGTTAATTGACATGTGGACTAACATTCGTCCCTCGGTCGGGCGTCAGCCTTCCGTATCTCCCTTGTCAACGCGCCCCTTCCCCTACAACGAGGAAAGGACACGTGTATGCGAATGGGACGTACGGGAAGCTGTAGCACGCATTGGCGGACAATATTACTTCCCTCCTGAAAATCGGTGTTCCGGGTTTGTGGATGCGGGTTTTGTCATCATCGATACGCACTTTCCACCTTACTCAGTGTTGTTGCCATTTAACGAGCTGATCGTCATTCTGTGGACGGCAGTGGCGGCCCATTGGCCTCGAACCCTGTGCACTGAGTGCGAGCATCTCGACCGCTATGAATCAAAGGGCTTCCACTACTGGATACGGAGTGAGGACGGGCACAAGGAAAGAGCCACGCGTCTGAGACCATCCACGTCAGACTCAGAACTGACCAACGAGCGACGTCGAGACTTGATACCGAAACGGGATACGCGGAGTGTGCCGAAACCCTTCCGCTCTAAACGAAGATCCGTAACGCGGTAGGAAGCTCGACAATACTTTCTGGATTGAATTTGGATTTTTCTCTTTTCGCGCCGTACCCACGCGCGCATTCCGCGACGCGCGAACGCAACCGACTTACTTCATCGGGCCAACACGGGGAATTTCAGTTCTGTCTGTGCCCCCACACTCAATTTTCCAAAAATCCTTGGCACACCCCATCTTGTTGTTTTTCCTGGGCCTTCATTTCGCACCTTTAGCACTCCGAACGAAAGACAACACAGGGCGTGAGGTTGGTATTGGAGCCGACACGTGTTGGTTCTGATGATAGTAAGTCGAGCTGGCGAGAGGTAGAAGAAGTCCTCAACCCTCTCGTCGAGATCGCCCAGTGACCAGATCTAGATCTGGTGCAGCTATACCAGCTATGCCAATGGCAGACGAAAATGTAGCACCCCCAAGGGTAATTGTTAGTATTCCCGCTCCTTTTCCCTTCTTTCCTAATCACACCCACCCTGAAGCTTGGTTGGAAGTCGTCGAAGCTCAAGGGTATGGCGCGGGAGATCTTCCCTGCGTCCTCACTTTGCTGCTTCGCAACACAGTGCATGATTGGTTTAGGAAACACACGTGGGTAGACTGGAACACCTTTAAGCAAGCCTTATTGGCTAGATTTGACACAATTAGCGAAGATGCCGCCTGGTACGTGCTCAAGACTCGACCGCAAGAACCAGGGGAATTGCTACCCGACTTCGTGGATCGATTTCAAACTACGTTAGACAAATCCGGGCGCGATGAAAAGTCCGCCCGAGATTTGTCCATCGATCATCTTCGAAGTCCGACGTTGAAAGGTAAGTTGCAGAAAAAGGTTTCCCCTAAAACGCACCAACTATCCACTATCATCGCTAAGGCACTTGAGTTGGACCTGGCGGATACCAAGAAGTATATCAGTTAGGGAGACGAAGACATTACGGACACGATCCAAGATGTCACGGCGAAAAGACGATCATGGTTGTGAGTGGTGGAACGTTTCTACCCTCGGCCTGATCATGACCTTCCCGCAGGGGCTGCCTCCGATATTTCGTCACTCCTTTCCTCCCCTTCTCAGTCCCTCTCAATAAATCAACAGGTAGCTATGGTTAAACCCAGAAGTTCCCAAAATTCTTCCCCAATAGCCATAACAAACATGCATCTAGCACAGATGATTCATACAGCTACCACCAAACAATCAGAATGGATGAGCAACCTGGTCCAGATGCAGGCGGCTCACATGGATCGAATGGAACAGATAATGAACAGATTAGTTAAGCCCAAACCGGCTCCTGCTCGACCTGCCCCTGCATTGTTCCCACTTTTGCCTGCTCCGCCTGCACCCAGACATGCACAGCAGTTCCCTCACACAGCCAATCTGGCAGGGAAAATTGAGTGTTTCAACTGCAAACAGCCCGGGCATTTCGCCCGGGACTGCCCGCAGCCGAAACGAAATCAATCCCCACCTGCTGCAGCCCCCGTAGCTCTGAATCAAGGACGAGTGACCGCATTAATGGATACGGCCCGAAGCGAGGAGATCATCGCATACACCCCTGAGCTCTCTTCCCCCTACATGACAGTTGCATCGACCTCGGGAATTTCTTCCTCCGACGCTGTTGAGGTGGTCGATCCGCTCGAATACCTTCATCTCGCCGAAATGATCGGAGCAATCCGACCAGCTCAAGACGATCTCGAATGGGTCGAACGCGAATCTAACCCCGGACCGCAGTTTCGGACGGACGAAATCGACGTCCTAAGAACGCTTAAGCAGCTGGACATTCATGTTCCGGTCCCTGTGGGGCACTTGCTCACCATATCTGAAGCAGCGAATGACAAACTGCTGCAACAATGTCAGAAGAATCAAAAGCGTTTTACGTATCAATGCATACAACGGATGCTGAAAAAGAAAAAGGAAGAAGGAGCAGAGGAAGTTGCATCGCCCGAACCCGAAGAAGGTGACCCCGAAGCAGCGCGAGTAGCTGCCATTTTGCTAGCAGAGAAAGATCACTTTGTGAGAACTCGACCAGTGCTGAGGAAAAGTGTAGAATGTGATTGCGAGGTATGAGGCAAACCTTTTAACGCCCTCATCGATACCGGCTCCTCTGTGGTCGCTATTTCATTAGACACTGTGAAGAGAACAGGATGACTCAATTCGATTCTCCCTCAATCTGGCAAGGACCAATACGTCTCTGCCGACGAGGAAGCAATGAATATTGTAGGAATCATCGACAATGTGGCCGTGAAAGTTGGACGAGTACACGTCCTCGTTAACGCTTTAGTCATAGATGTGCACTCATACTCGGTATTGTTGGGACTGCCCTGGGCAATGGCGGTAGGTGCCCGCCTGCATTTCGATTCCAAACAATTGGTGCTCACGCAAACTGGAGGAAAGCCTCGGACGGTTCCGTTGCGGATTTCAACCTGGGCAATAAAGAGAAATCCCAACCTTAGTCTCGTTTTTCCTTACCTCACGATGAGGTTGTGATATGGTTGCATCTTGCATGATCAGTGACTCGAAATCTGGCCCCGTAAACGTCACGCAAGAACACGTGTAAACGCGATCCAAGTCGCGCCCTTACACGCATTCCCGTGCGGCGATTCTCCCGCCCAGACGGGACTCGCGGTGACGAGATCCCGACCCGCGCCATCCCACCTACGATGACACCATGACGCGATCTTGGGGCTCAGACTCATCCTATGACCTGGACTATTTCACCCCTATAATAAACGAGCTCATAAGGACACGATACCCCTGTCACACGGAGAATCGATTATGTCCGCGGGAATTCCACTGTACCACCACTAGCGACCCGCGGTGCTCTGATTTCCCTTCCCCCGACCGTACCTACTACTTCACCCATCCGGGATTTGTTGAGATCACCACCAGTTTCCCTCCTTTCCGCCTTCTTCTTCCATACCATCAACTCAGCGTCGTTCCGTGGCCTATTGGCCCAGTACGTTTTGCGCAAATTGCCGCCGTAGCAGCGAACAGAGAACTCCGGAACTCTGAAGGCCCCATCCAAATACGCGGAGGCCCGCGCCGCGTGGCGGACCCCGACGGCCTAACTTTTCGGGACCGCCTCCGCCGCGGAGGAACTTTCCCGTCAACCGCCACCCTCACTGCCCAGGCCCCATCGAACCGTGAGCTCCTCGCGCACGCATCCCTCGTCCGCCTAATTACATTCATATCCTTAAGACTCTCCCACTTTCCCCAAAAATCCTTGGCACACCCCTTTTCGCACTTCCAGGCCCACACTCCACCCCGATCAAGAAGTCACGCCGGGCGTGAGGTTGGTATCGGAGCCCGACACGTGGCTAGGGTCTTAGGATTGATAACACGTTAAATTGGCGATCTCGCTAACCGTGGGCAACCTCGCCCTCGGAACGCGTATAGACGCGACCCTATCGTCACCCGAAGCAGATCGGCTAACCGACGAGCAGCCAATATGGCTGTCAATGTGCCAAACTCGGTCCCACAACAGAATGCTAATCCCCCAAATCAACCCGCCCCACGTGCACGAGCTCCCATGATGCCACCAGATCTTTATCTCTTTGATCCCGCACACCATCTCGCAGGAGCATGGCTGGCCACACTTAGAGCCCAACAGTATACTGACCATGAAGCTCAGATCAATATTCCCGCCCGATTGGGGGGAGACGCTCATCATTGGTTTAGCACCTATGTGTGGGTTGATCTCCCGACCTTTGAGCGGGATTTCATGAATCAATTTGACTACGTTCACCCCGAGCAAGCACTGTATATGATCAAGGACCGAGTGCAAAAACCTCTCAAATCCGTCGCAGAATATCGGAACCGGTTCTACCGAATGTTCGTAGAAACTGAGCGAGGTGAACAAGTAGGAAGATACCTGTTCATTGATGGGCTTCGCAGCCGAACAATAAAGACTAACTTATGAAAGCAATTTCCCCCCATCACTCACACGCTACAGCAAATCATGGCTACCGCGGAAGAAATGGAACGGAAGTTCGCAGCGAACTTCCTGGAAGGGGAAGACTATCCTAAAGAAGGAGATTCGACCGAGCTCGCACGAGCGAGAGCTGAGTTAGCTGCTCTGCAGAACAAGTTTGAAAACATAGGGTTTGTATCAGGACCTGTTACCTATATGGAACAGATAGGCCCCAAGCGAGTGGCCCTTAGCGAAGTCCCAAGCACATCCGCTCCTGTAATGCCTCCACCCGCAAGGGCGTTACCCCTGCCGTTAGTTGAGGCTCCCTCACGAACGAACGAATCAGCGGCCATTTTCGAACTAACCAAAACCTTGATTAGTTTGATTCAGGAAAGTAAGAAGGAGCAAGGGATAACCCCCGCACCTGCGCTCGGAGGAGCCGCCAATAATCTAAATATCTGTTATGCCTGCCATCAGCCAGGGCATTTGGCCCGAGACTGCCCTCATCGATCCCCACAACAGCGGATCGAAGTCGCGCCTATGGCTGCGGCTCCCATCGCCAACGGACCTGGATGAGTCGGAGCTTTGATAGAAGAAGTAGAGGGTGGAGGAAGTGTCGTGGCCACCACGGAAGAAGCCACCGAGCTAATCCTGCTAGATCAGTACGTATCGCTCGGATATCCGGGACTGGGAATGACCGGAACAATAAGACCAGCGCCAAAACCAAAAGAGGTGGCGGAGTGGCGACCGTCCCTAGGAGAAATGGAGTCGGGGGGACCCACCTTCGTCACAGGGGAAATCGATGTATTAAACATCGTCCGAGCCTTGGATCATCGGAGTCCCCTTCCAATTGGTCACCTACTCTCGATCTCCGAGCAAGCCAACGAGCGAATGCTACAGCATTGCAAGGCAAACAGAAAATGATTCGCCCTTGCCCGAACACCGAATGCAAAAGCTAAAGACCCCGCACCAGAAGAAAACCCAAGGTCCCGATCACGAGGAGTCTTCATCCACGGATGACATTAGTGGATTTGAAGAGCAGGAGTGCGAGGAAGAGATGCCTAGCGAGAGGGAATGGAAACACTTGGTCGACCTTTTCGAGCACAAAACCCCCGAGAAGTTTCGCATGATCCCCATAGCCGCCCGAACCTTCCATCCGGAAGACGGCACGCTCGCGCCTATGGAAACCCAGGTCAGTTCTTCGATCTTTCTCGGAGAACCCATTTTGCAAATATCTTACCTGGCAGACGATTTGGACCCCCCTCACACCTTGTACGAGGGAACACTTTCCCTTCGAGGACGCTATCAACAGGCGAAACAATATCTAGATATTTCTGTTTCCCCTCCAAGATCACTGCTTACGACAGGAGCGACCATCGCTCTGATTAAACAAGACGCCGAAGCTCCTGTCGATGACGTGCCCGATCTAATGCAAGAAATGGTGGATCTAACGGGACTAACAGTGGAAGGAACCTCAGCTGATTCGAAAACTGATGCTGAAGCTAAAGAGACAGAGATGATTAGCCCCGTTGAATCCCAGATGATCGCGACTGTGTTTTCTGTCCGCACTAGCAACTCTATTTTCTCTAGCGTCCACAACCGACGGGATCGGCCTGCGGATTGGATCGATATGCCTCTTGAAATACCCAATCAACCAACCGTCACTCTCCCCGATCACGTTCCCCTGGAATTCCGACGATCGCTAATTAGCGTCTTGAATGGGTACGCGGAGGTATTGAGTGTGTGCGATAATGATATTGGGCTGTCTAATGTGATCGAGCATGTCATCATAATGGGGGATCACCCACCCATTAGCTGCGTTCCTTATCGATACTCGCCAGCCCAACGGGCGGCCGCGTTTCAGCGGATCAAGGAATTTGAAGCTAATGGATGGATCGAACCCACAATAGGACCTTGGTCGTTTCCTGTGGTAATAGTGCCCCAAAAGGCCGGAGGGATTCACATATGCATCGATTATCGAAAGTTGAACGATATCACGATCAAAGATGTGTATCCCCTTCCCCGGATTGATGAGTTGTTGGATGCAATTGGGAGTGCTCAATTTTTCAGTAAGTTTGATGTTCGACATGGTTTTCGTCACCTTCTTGTTCGAGAGGAGGATCGTCCGAAAACGGCGTTTGTGTTGTTCGAAGGTACCTGGCAATGGTCCAGGTGTCTGATGGACATCTGCAATGCTCCCGCAACCTTCCAGCGGGCCATGAATATGGCTTTCCAGAACTTTGTGCGGAAGACACGGCTGACCCATAGCATTATCAATTATTGCGTGATCGTGTACATGGATGATATTCTGGTGTATTCAAGTTTCTATGAGGGACACGTGCAGCACATCGAGTGGACGATGCACGCTTTGAGAGATGCTGGTTTCAAGGTGGCGCTCGAGAAATGTCAGTTCTTTCTCACCATCATTTCCTTCCTGGGACACTTGGTGACGGACCAGGGACTCAGGCCGAAACTGCAAAAGGTGGCAGCCGTGAGAGACGCACCTGTGCCCACGACTATCACTCAAGTTCGCGCCTTTTTGGGCTTGGCCTCGTACTACCGAAGGTTTATCAAGGGCTTCGCGGCTATTGCGGGTCCCCTCACGAATCTGCTGAAAAAGGATAAGTTGTTGATCTGGACGCCAGAGTGTGACCAGGCGTTCTCGAAACTCAAGGCAACCCTTATTTCGGCTCCGATCCTTATAAGACCGGATCCTACGAAGCCTTTTGTCCTCATCACGGACTGGCAACTGGAAGCAATCTCAGTGATTTTAGCCCAGGTGGAACCCGACGGACTCGAATGCGTGGTGGAGTACGCGTCTAAGTCGGTGCCTGCTTGCAAGCGTAATTACGCCGCCCCGACAGGGGAATGCTATGCAGCTCTGTGGGGGATCAGCCACTTTCGAGCCTTTCTGTACGGGCGAAAATTCACACTGGCTACCGATCATGAGCCACTATTAGCCCTGAAGAAGTCTAAGGATTACTCGGGCATGATCGGGAGATGGGCGACAGTGCTGCAGAGCATGGACTTTGACATTCGTCATCGGAAGCACGAGAGGCACGAAAATGCTGACGGGTTGACGCGACTGCACCGACCCGAGAAGGTCCTCAAGAGCGAAGAAGTGATTCCGTGGAACGAGCCCAAGGAGAAGAACGGACCGCGATACGGACAAGTGGAAATTCTGTCGAGGGAGTGAGTGACACGTAGCTTCGCTCTGCCCTCTCTGCAGCCCTGCTCAATCTCTTTCTCCTCCTTTATCATCATGACTATTCCACCTGTCTCCGCAACCCCTTCTTCCCCTGCTGAATCCGACCCTCTCGCCTCATCGGCTTTCTTCGCCACCCTTCTCGATAAATTTTGCTATTTTTGTACGTGTATTACATGGGTATATGGGGTGAATTGCCATCCCTTTGAGACTGGATTCGTTGAGTGGGTAAACTGCGCCACGTGCATCAATCGTGCACACGGTGCATGTGTTCGATATCGAACGAGTAACAGGGAATGGAAATGCCCTCTGTGTAGGACGGACAAACTGCCTACGGAGGTTCGATTCGAGGCTGCCCGTACGGACGACCCTGAATACGACGAGAAATACCGCCGAGAAGAAGTCTGGACGGACAAAATCCTATTGGCTAAGCTGGCTGGGTTACCCTTGGATCATCTCACCAAGCACGACAGACGTCGGGCTACCGAGAGATCTCGGGACTATCGATGGATCAACGGTCACCTAGAAAAGCGTAAAACTGACGGATCGGGTTTGTGGTTGACGGTTCCTCATCCGTTCCAGAGATATGATTGGACCCAATCTGCTCATGAAGAACAGGCCGCTCACTTCGCGATACGTGTCACGGAGGCAACTATAGATCAGAATCGATGGTTCTGGTCTAATATACGGGACAATGTCAAATATGTAGTCGCCAACTGTCTAGTCTGTGCCGCCGATCGCGCCCCAATATGGGGACCAAACACGATAGTACCGACAGAAGCAGAGCGCCCTTTCCAGCGAGTCAGTATGGACACGACAGATATCGACGTGCCACCTGGCCCAAACCGTTGCGAATATTCCATTCTTTTAGTTTTAATAGATCATTTTTCCAAATACATCGAAGTATACCCCTGCAAGACCCGTAAGGCTGCAGAGATAGCCACATACATCGATTGGTTTCTCTATACTCACCTAGATACAGAGGAAATTCTAATTGATAATGGGTCTGACTTTAAAGGCGAGGTAGAGGAATTACTCGCACGAAGAGGCATTACGCTTCAACATACGGCACCCCACGTTTCCTTGTCCAATGGGTTGGCCGAAAATACCAATCGAATGATTAAGAATGCCCTGCGTAGAAATCTAGCGGCGCGTGACACGTGTCCCTGCCCCGAGATTGTATACCAAATCATCGGAATTCACCGGGCCACCCCTCATGAATCCACGGGGTTTACCCCCTTCCAGCTTCGAACCAATAGCCTCCCATGTATCGATTATCGGGGCAGCTCGAAAATTGCCGAAGCCGGGGGTAGAGACACGCGTGCCGCCCTTTAGGCCAAAGCCAAAAGGTATGCCGATTTAATGGAACGGGCCGTTCCGAAGCTAGCCCGAAAAAGACAGAAAATGACTGAACTAGCCCACGGAAGACAAGTCCGTAGCTACGAGGCCCGAAATGGGAACGCCGGTCCCCAACATCAATATAAATTAGGGGACCTGGTGCAGGTACGTAAATGTGCACGCGACCGGAAACTCGCTCCTAAGTTTTTTGGTTGTTTCCGCGTTGTCGAGCTCGGACCTAACAGTGCCAACACGGTGCACATCGCGCCCGAGGCATAGTTCCTACATCCGTCCACTCCCTCCCTCCAATCTCCCTCCATCTCCCTCATCTGCCGACGAAGAGGACGAAGATGATCTAGTTCCGTCTCCGCTCTCTCCCTCCTGCTCCCCTGCTTCATCTTCTTCCCCGTCCTCGCCATGAGTTTCATCACGGAGCGAGCTCTTGGCGATCATCTGCTGCAGCCACGTGGCTACATCTCCTAGATCCGACAAGTTCGTCATCCGCGGCTTAGTCCTGATCTGCGAGGGGTAGCACAGTTTTTCTGCACCGAGGGAGTGTGCAGTGTGCTGCTGCTGCGTTCCGATTCGTCGGGAGTCAGCAGGCGGTGGTATTGGCAGAGGTGGTGGCTCTTCATCGACGAGCGGCTCTATGGGACAAGCCACGTCACTACAATCGCTGCCTTTAGCGGCGACATCAGCACGATCAGCCCCTTGCGGCATACGACGATCTTGACCTCCTTACGAGAGTGGGCGCAACAGTTGTCGACTGATTGGCATCACGGTCTTGCGCGTCCAGGTTACAATATGTTCCCGACATCCGGGACGGACTTCGAAGTCCGCACTTCTTCGCGCGAGCCGGCAATCGTGCTCCCCACCCTCATCCCCTTTCAATGCCCCCAATGAACCGTGCCGCTCCCCTCGCTCCTCTCTCCACCTTCCGTCTCCCCTTTTTTTTCCCCAACTTCTGGCAATCCGATCTCCACCCTCGCCTTTCCTTCTCCTTCGAGCCTCTCGCCGTTCCGCTCCTCGATCCTAGACATTGGCGGCTGTGGCGCGAAACCTTTGTCGATCTGTCTGTCTGCCTGGCCCGAGTGCAGATGACATGGACACGGACCAGTGAGCAGACTACGTGCATCGAGTACCTGGAGTTGCTGATCATCCAGGCTTGGAGAACGGACGTGGAAGGTGATCTTCTCGGTTTCCTCTTCGGATCGGTGCGGCCAGGCCATAGCCAGCCTATCGTTCAAGAACTCATCGTCCCGATCGTGCAATTGGCTGACGATCTCCCCCTCGACATCGTTTCGCAAAGCGACGACAGTCCCGCCCCGCACGTCATCACGAGGGCGTTAACACCGTATCTTCAGTGGATTGCTTGCTTGGAGGAACCCGGGAGCGACAACACCTTGCCATCACGAAAGGAGTACTTAAAGTCGTACGGAATCATTGATCGCGCCTTATATCCGAGGGAGCCTGAGGAGGTGTTTCAAGGAGAAGAAGAAGCCACAGAAGAAGAAGGCGACGTCGACGAAGAAACGTCAAAAGAAGGAAGCTATAAAGAGTACAGCGAAGGAGAGCAGAGTGAGGAGGAGGAGCTAGAAGAAGAAGAAGAAGAAGAAGAAGAAGAAGAAGAAGAAGAAGAAGAAGAAGAAGAAGAAGAAGAAGAAGAGGAGGGAACCGGATCGGAGTGGGAAGACTTGTCGGAGGAAGCGGCGCGTACAGGTACGGAAGCAAAAGATCCCGAAGCGGCACGTAGAAGGGAAGAGATCGCTTCCGGGAAAAACCAGCTGGAGATCATCAGTGGAGCGAGCCTGTGCATCAACAACGACCCAACCAGGGATCCAGAGCCCCCCGAGCCCGAAGATGGTGGATCAGCAACCGCGGCTCCGGGCACGTCACGACGGAGGCGGAGCCGATGCCCCTCCCCCTCCACCCCAACCCGTCCCCCAGTTCGTCCACACACCGATGCGGGGAATCGGTCTTCGTCCCCGGTCGTTATCCCGCCGTCCCCTTGATTACCTCACCCTTTGCCAGATCTCTACCCCCGTCACCTTCCCTCGCAACCCCTTCCCTCCCAACACTTTCGAGCACTTTTACTCCAACCGTCTCGCCGTCATCGTCCATCCCAGCCCTTCCCTCCAAGCAGCGAACCCCACGTTCGGTTTACACGTCCTCCTGTTCAGTGCAGCGTGACAACATAGTAACGCAGTAGAAGTCTACTTCGTAATCACCGGGACCATCCCCGCGTGTCGCCATCACGAGCAGTTTCGCGCGGCACTCTTCCACACTTTCTCCACCCTCTACCCGGACTACCTCGCCTCCCTCCCTCACAGCGGCGATCGGTTTCCCCGCTTTCACCGGATCATCCGCTACGAAGAGCCCCCAATCATGGAGGAAGGGATGAACCGATACTTACCCCCACTCCCCCCCCGCCCTCCCCGTCGACACCCCTCCAAGTATAATGTCTACTTCCCCATTCCCACACGGCGTTGAGTGCCACGTGTCCCTCGAGCGGTATGAATTAGCAGTTTTCGCGAAGATCATGCCATTGACAATGACGTCAACTTACGCTCTGATTCGATCGACTACGCTGAACTGCGGGTGCAGAGCACACGGAGATCTGATGGACCATGATGGTGCCACCTGGACGATCTCCGAAGCTCGAGGGACAGGGGGTTGCATATGACAGGGCTGCAGGGAGCGGGATCTGAAACCGCACGAGCTGGCATGCTTCACGAAGATCTTGCCACGGATGTTGTCGCCAGCTCATCATACTGATCTAAGCTCCTACTTCGCCTTGCCTCTTCATTCCTTGTACTTCTTCCTGTTTCTTCGTCCCCTCGTATTCCCGTTGTTTGAGCTCTCATGCAATCAGGAGATTGCATAATTTTGGAACCCCCTGCGCGTCACATATGTGACGAACCACTTCCCGACCCCGTGCTATCTTTCGTACCCCTTGACCCAATACCCCCTTGGTGTATCATACCAACCCCACAGAACCTTCGTCGCCTTTCTTGATTTCAGGCGCCTTGTTTGGGCCCCCATCTTTCAGAAGTTTTATTGATTCTTGGAATTCTGCTTTTTGTAATTCGGGAAATGCACGGGGAATTACGCGCGCCTTAGCGAGCGCAATGGGAATCGGACTCGACAGTTAGGAATTACGGAATAAGCGGAGCCCGACGAATCTTTTTCCTTGCATGAATGTTCTCGGTCGCGTCGGAGAAAACTTTAGGAATTTTGTGAGAATACGGATAGGCGTAGGAATTTCTTTTCCCGCGTCGCTTTTCGTGCGCGGATATGGTGATTTCAATTT